GGGTCAACACTCTTAATACTCTTTTTAAGTGCTGAAAAGCTCAGGATGTTCCTTTGAGGACTGCGGTGCGCCTGACCCAGCCACGGTATTTTCATGCATGTGCACGTTGGGCACTGACTGCGGAGCTCTGACAAAGAACTGGGGCACTCCAGTCACGGTGTGGGGAGAGTCTTATCGAAAGTACCACGGACTGAAAACAGAACAAGCGCGTCTGTCTTAGGCGAAGTACGGCCAAAGTGGTCCTGAGAGGCAAGAAAGGTGAGACTGTGCCCGGCATACTTTGGACACGCTATCAGGAGAAACTAAGTCTCTGGAAAAGGGCACCGGCCGGGTAACATAGAGGGCAGTGAAGAAGTGGAAGGCACTCCGCAAGATGGGTTGACACAGTGATGGCACCAACGGGTTCAAACGTGACACGTGGGGATGGTGCCCGACTGGGCAGTGTGTTGTCTTACTGTCCACACAGCTGCTGCCGCGGGTCAAAACTGAGCGGCTAACCCCTCACGCCCACACTGCAGATAGGTGGCTGGATGGTGGTGGGCGGGTGGTGGGACTACAGATAGCGGTCGGTCTGACAGAGAGCTCGCACATGAGTGGTTGCTTCTGCTGCAGAGACTCAGGAGTGCGGCCAGGAGCAGACAGGGCGACGTTAGGAAAGCCGCTGAGGCATCACCAGATACACTGAGGGCAGTGAGTCTCCGGACCATCGTCTTGGCAGACGCCAAGGTCAACGGCACGACACAGTCCACCAGGGCGGTGTTCCACAGCCTCCTTTGATGAGGAGCGACTGGGCTCTGGACGGCTTGTCAGCAGCCATCTAGACGCAATTCTGCACCACTCTCAGTCCAGAGGAAACAAACTGGCCGAACGTTCAAGGACACAGGGAAACAGTGAGTCTAATCATGAACATCAATCAGTCTTCATGACCCGAGACAAGAAGAACTAGATGGTGCCTATCACAGCTACCTATCACTTCCACCTGCTCTGTAAGTGATCGACACCAGAAGGTGCTGGACGAGCCCTGAAGGCTTCAGGTTACATGCTGGACTGCAATCCACAAAGTTAGCGATTCAAAAGCACCAGCTGCCCCCTGTTAAAAGAAGAGGCTTCCTACTCCTGTACAGTTACAGCCTCAGAAACTCACGGGGAACACTTCTACGCTGTCCTACAGGGTCAATAAGGGTTGGCATAGTCACCCCCATGTGAGAGTAATCAACTCTTTAAAACCAGAAGGGCAGCATTAGCCCAAGGACAGAGACTGCGCGAGAGAGGAGGAGCTTGGGAGGATGGGAAACAAGGACCCGGGGAAGAAATGGGCTCAGTGATGGGACACAGGGAGGAGTGGGCGAGGGAGGAGTGGAGTCAGAAAGCGTGTGACTCACTGAACATGAAGCTAATGATCAGCTCTGCCGGACTTCAGCTAACTCAGAAGAAACATGTCAAAGAAGTGCAGTGGAGAGCCGGGTCTGCCCCTGCTTGAGGTGCCCTGGGGGATCTGGGCCCCAACAGGCACCTGGTCACCTGCTCACAGGACCACCCAAGGCCACAAAGCTATCTTGTGGGCTACCCCTGGAGTCCAGTGAGCATGAGCTTAGAGGCCTTCTGGGTTCATTTAAACCATCTTTGGACAGAATGTACTCCCAGGCTCTAACCACTTGGCCAGCTACCATCTCCATCGATGGCAGGAGGAGACAGAGGGAGAGAGAGAACCCATCGGTTTCAGGAGCTGCCCTCTGCCGGGGCCTCCACACTCCCATCCATGCCAACAGGCCAGGCCTGGGGTAGACGTGGCCGGGCCTGGGGTAGACGTGGCCGGGCCTGGGGTAGACATGGCCGGGCCGGGCCGGGGTAGACGTGGCCGGGCCTGGGGTAGACGTGGCCAGGCAAGGGTAGACGTGGCCAGGCCGGGGTAGACGTGGCCGGCTGCGGGGCGCAGCTCACCTTGTTCTGGTCGCATTTGTACAGGATCTTCAGGGTCTCCATGGCCCTGATCATGGCCTGCATGGCCGTGAAGATGTTCTGGTAGACGAGCTTGGTGAAGCCCCGTTTGTCCTCCTCCGAGTAGCCGGCCCCGTGGATGATACGCATCTGCTTGATGAACGTGCTCTTCCCACTCTCGCCAGTGCCTGCAGGGGGACAGGGGTGGGGAGGGATGAGGGCCGAGGGGTGGCTCAGGGAGTTCCTCAACCTGCCCAAGGCTGCGGGGAACCCCGATCTGGGGGCCAAGACCCCATCTGCTGGGTGCTGACACAGGGCACTGCTGACACTGGCGTAGGGCCTCTGCAATGCTCAGGCGCGGGGCGGCCCAGGCAGCCCTATGGAATCCTGCAGGCAGGGAGACGAGGCACACAGAGGGGAGGGCGTTCCTCAAGCAGGGCGCTAAGAGGGGCGGGGCCAAAGCCTGCTTCTCGGCCGCCTCCCAGGACCCCTTGGCCCCCTGAAGGAAGGTCTGTTGGCCCCTCGCCTGGCCAAGGCAGGTGGGAGATGAGCTTCTGGTGCAGCTGGACAGCAGCTGCCCACTCTGCAAGGCTCTTATCTCTGCGCTCCTCCCACCTGCGCCCATTTCACACCTGACAAAACGCAGGCCGAGAGGCACCAAGAGTGGTGTTTGCCAAACACTTAGCCCAGAAACACAGGGCCTGCCTCGTCAGCGTCAGCGCCAGCTCCGACCTCTCCCAGCAACCTGCCTGGGGCGGGGGTGACCAGAGACAAGGTCATGCCTGGCTCTTCAGAGTCAGGAAACCTGCAGTGCAAACCCCAAGACCATTGCTCACGATGGCTTGGCTCCAGTGAAGCGGATCGCCCAGCACAGGGTGGGTGGGCCTGATCCAATCAGTCAACGGGCTAAACAGAGAAGATCCCGCTGCCCAAGTCTGCAGTGAAGGAGAGGAGGGCGCTCCAGGAGATGGCTTCGACACAGTGGCTGCAGCCCTGGCTCGTGGTGAGGAGGGCACCTGACCTGGTGTTTTGTTCAGGTACACACCGGCTCACTACAAGTTGGAACCGCCTTGATGGCACCTAATGAAGACAGGAGTCCCTGTGCTGCCCCTCGGTGCTCAGAGGGGGACAGAGATCCAGGCGGCCACAAACACACTGGAAATCACCCAGACCAAGCACTGTCCAGGCAGCCTGGGCACGCTGGGGGGAGGGGACCGGCGGGACGTGTGGCGCCGGGATGGGCAGAGCAAGTGTTGAGAGAGTGTGGCTGTAGGGCTCGTAAGCACTCTGTGGGGGTTCGAAGGGTCAGAGAGGTGCCTTAGGGGGCTGGGAGCGCATATTTGTGGGGGAGGAAAATGGTCACGCAGCCCCGAGTGCCATCCGTGTCACCAAGGTGCTCACGGAGAAACTCTGTTGACCAGCTATCTTCCCTGGCGTAGCAGCTTCTTCGAGCCAAAACAGGAAGTGATAGCCAGGAACTGTTCCCCACGCAGGCGCGGGCGCTGCAGGGTCAGGTTAATCATTGGCGGGCAGGAGCGCCAACCTCTCCCCGGCTCCTGCCATGGTGCCACCGAAGACTGAGGCTTCCCTGCACTGGCATGCCGGCTGCAAGACCCCATGAAACCTGGCGTCTCGCCACTTGGACCCAACATGCACGGTTGCAGCTGCAGTTCAACTCTCTTCCTGAATAGCCAGCATCCCCTTTCCCAGTTAACCCCACCCCCAGCGGCCTGAAGACCCCGGCCTCACCACGGATCCACCACCAGCACAAACCCACCCAGAGGCGTCTCAGAAGAAAAGCCGGCTCTAGAGTGTGGTTGAGTTCTGACACGGGGTCGGGGGAGGGTGTGCACGCACACACTGGGTCGACAATCATACCCTCGCCTTCCTGGGCACCAAGTGTGGCAGCTCTTCTGGGAACCATCTGGACCGTTCTAAAACTAAGCACTACATGCAGCAGGGTCTCCCTAATGCCCCAGCAGGGGCTTCAAACTGGTCCCAGCCACTCCCTGTGCATGTCTGAGAAGGCCCTGCTGGCCACAGATGTGGGACCACAGGAATCAAGGCATTTCACGTTTCCACCAGGATGCAGTGGGCGCAGGTACCGGACCACCCCCACAACCCCAGGACAGCAAGACTGAGATGAGCCCCAGGGTGGTGGTGTGGTGCTGGGGGGTCTGACCCTCCCTCTGCTCCAGTTTGGGTTCCCTGTAACTCCAGGGGCAGGGCAAGGCAGGGAAAGGGAGGCCCAGCAAGTGGGCTGATAAGGAGCCGGAAGACCCTATTTGCCCTGGGAAAGACTTTGGGGCTCTGGGAGCGTCCCAAGTGGGGCCCAGTGGAAGAGGGGACACACCTGTCAGGTAAAATTAGAGGAGCCCTAACCCACAAACGCCGCTCTCCCAACAACCCAAGCTATTTTCCCAGATGTGGTCAGGGCAGCCCAGTGGGAGGAACAGCTGGGGTCTGAACCACAGTACCTGTAGGTGGGGTCAGCTATATTGACGAGGGCACACAATAGGGAGGGGTGGAATCCGATAGGACGACCCGCACTCACAGCATTGACGCCTCTGGCACACGCAGGCATTGCTTAATGGCTGATGAAACCAGGTTCCCTCCCCGCCAGTGCACCTCACACACAGCTGCCGCTCGTCTGCACGTGAGGCTGGCGCTCCCAGCCTGCCGAACGGGTTACAGTTAAGTCTCCACTCTACCGCGAGGCAGAAAGGCCTGGCGATGGACAACTGAAAACCAGCCAATGAGAACCCTGGGCATCACAACAGACTGGTCCCCAGCCGACTATGGGGAGGGCGCAGGCCCGGAGAGTATTTCTCGTGCGTGGGGTCACCCTGTGCCAGGGGTGGGGCCTGATGGACAGCGGACAACGGTACAAACGGAAGTTGAGAGAAACAAAGACACCTTCCCTTGAGCTATACCCAGGAGTAGGCTTCCGGCGCCTGGGCCACCAGGAGACCGTAATTTACCATTCATTAACAGTGTCCAACTGTGGTGTTAGTTAAGGCAGCAAGTCCCCAGGAACAGGGCCACGTGGCATGTCCCTCAGGACAGTGCCGTCCCAGAATGGGCTCATGAGGCAGAGTGGACTCTAAAAAGGCAATGCCTGGGATTCGGCCACTGGAAATAAGGCCAGACCCAGTTGACTGGGGCTCTGTGGTGCTGGCCGGGAGGGCGGAGGAGACTAGCCAGTGGTGGCAGCCGCTGCAGCCTGGGTTTGGTGGCCAGGTCCCAGCTGTGCCTGCAAACCTGGCCCAGCACCTCCCTGAACACAGTGCCCTAGGCTAGGTAGGTAGCAGACTCCTCGCTCAGCATGCTGTGCACCCGTCTTGGGCCTGGGATTCTAGCCCTGGTCCACTGGGCACTGGCTGGCTCAAGAAGCCACTTTTCAGCATTACACATACCCCTGCCACACACACAGGGCCTCCAGAAACCCTCATCGACACACTTTCAGAAGCCTCCTCGCCCCCATGTTTTCAGCACAGCCATGTCGGTGGACCCCCTACTTACATATCACACACACACACACACACACACACACACACAGAGTCCCCAGGGGAAGAATCTGGCTCATGGACCTTACACCTCAAACCCCTAGCAAAGGGCTCGCACGTAGCAGGAGGGTCAAGGATTTCTGAATGAATGGGCTCCAACTGAGATGCCAATGTCATGGTGGCTCCTCTCCACCCCTCGCTGCTCTGGGCACAAGGACCTGCAGCCTAATGGCTGGCACAGGCCAAGGGTCCATCCCATCCGGCCCCAGGACCCCAGCCCCGGTCAGCTTCCCTGTGGTCTGGCCAGCTGCCAGCTGAGTGGTCCGGGCAGGCAGGGGGCAGAGGAGCCAAGAGCAAGTTGCAGCTCAGGGTGGGACCAGACTTTCAGGAGAGGAAGGCAGAGCCAGTGAGACCACCGCGGCCATGTCCAGGCCTTGACTACCCACCAGGGTCTGAGACGCGGCAGGAGGGGGCGAGGGCAGGTGGGCAGCCAAGGCTATCTCACTGCGCTTCGCTGTTTTACTTCCGGACGAGCGGCAGTTAAAATGCACGGCTGTGGCCACTCTGCGCAGAGCTGGCTAATGGGCACCATTTCTCCCACGGTGGGGTGCGGGTCTCCTTTGGTTGTTCCCAAGATATTTCAACCGTTTTCATAATGTGGGTGTATGTTTCATAGACTATAGTACGAGGAGCGCTTCAAACAAGGTTTTATCTTTTCATTCGATTCTCTGGACCAGCTCTCTGAAGATGACCACCACCACCCCCACCACCCCTGTGTCCATCAACTTTACTTGACTGGGAAAGCTCCTACGGTGACATTCGCTGCCCTGCTGGGTAGGAGAGGGTGGGTGGGGAGGCGGGGCCTTCAGGCAGAGATTCCTGGGGAGCTGGGAGAGAGAGAGGGCTGAGGGGAGAAAGGGAATACAGAAAGGAGCCTGAGTAGGCATGGGGGAGGTCAAGGCGAGACCAGGCAGGGGGTGAGAAGGGGAGAAGACCTGGTTAAGGAGGAAGGGGTAGGGTTGTGGGGTGAGGGTGGGGAGCAGCGCCCTGGAATGGTCAGGGCAGGCGGGAGTGGGCAGTGCAGAGGGGTGGAGATGGGGGGTGGTGAGGAAGGCAGGGCTGAGATGCAAGACCAGGTTGAGGCAGGTCAGGAAGGAAGGGCAGAGAAGGCAGGGCCACGGAGTGAATGAAGGCCAGCTAGACTTGGCAAGGGCAGGGTGGGCGGAGCAGACGGCGGACTGCGGACTGAGGGCGTGGCAAAGGGGCGGGTGTGGGGTGATGAAGAGCAGGGGTGGAGCAGAGGTGGGGGCGGAGGACTGGAGGCGGTAGAGGTGAAGGCAAGACAGGGCAAAAGGTCGGGTGGGACAGGGTGGGGCGGAGCAGAAGGGCATACTAAATATTGGGAGCTGGGGCAAGAAGGCGGGGCAGATGGGTGGGGATGGCAGAACAGCACAAAGCGGGCGGGGCGGAGGGTGGGGAAAAAGCCGAGTTGGGCGGGGCAGAGGAGCGGAAAGGTGAAGGCAGGGCGGGGCTGAGCAAAGAGGGAGTGCATAAGGGATAGTGGGGGGTGCGGGGGCCCACAATGGAGCTGGGTGGGTTTGCAAAGGAGGGGCAGCTAGGTGTCAGCTGCTCGCCAAGGGGATGGGAGACCTCAGTGCCCAAAATTGGGGGTCCAGGCTGTG